TTGTCAAACTAATGATGATTTTTGATTTCATTCTCTCCCACCTGTTTTCTGTTTGGTTCAGTGTTGGTTATTTAGCTCTGGCTGCAGAGTAGAGCCCTCACCCCCACACACATTTGCAATTTTTTAAATTGCTGATCCCCCTGTTGGCCTTGTTGCTTTACAAAAATGTTCAATAATGTAGATTAACTTTTGCCTCAGTTTGGCTTGTTTTGCAGAGTTAAAGGATTTGTGTTCTTTTTTTCGGTGCTGACAACCATGCCTTTTCACTTTCTAGGCCCACATCATGACATTTAAATTCAAAGGGCTACATCAATTAATGATTTCAGGGTCATTGTGGCAGACATGGACTGATTGACTCAAGCATTGTTTGTATTCACAAAGCGCTAAGTGTGTGTGTGCGCTCATGGATTTTGTCTGTGTATATATGTGGCATGCACCTTTGAGTTCAAGAATACTTTGGTACTCTACCATGCTTAGCTAACATTTTATGTTGCTTAAAGTGTACTGTAAGTGTAACTGACACATTATTAGTAGGCTTCTGCCAGTGAAATAATTTTTTTGTAAAGATGAATTGCTAAAGCTTTTATCATACTTGATTCATATCATTATACGATATTAACCCAAGCTTGAAAAAAAGACAACTTTAACAGAAATAAACACACAAAAATACTTAGTGTATTGCTTTATTGTTCCGAGTAAATAAATGGTTCATACAAATTTAATCACAAAATGATGATGAAGTAAAATAGGTAACATGTTAGTTAATGCATTAAAATCAACGGTAAGAAATGGCCATATTATCGTTACACGATAAAAGTAATTAAAAACAACTAAATTTTATTAATTAATGTCATTAACATTTAATAAAATGATTACAGCTTTTGATTTTAACGTGTTATTAGGCATTAGCTAAGAAATTAACTTCAGCAAAGATTTATAAATGCTTTTGTAGTTCTCATTACATTGACTAGTTCGATTAACTGAGTTTAACAAGTTGAATCTTACAGTAGAGAGATAAAGAACAAAAGGCCTATAAATAGTCTCTGAATTTTCAATATTGCAGGCCAGATTAACCAACCCAGCCTCTTTCTGAAAACGTACCTCTATATTCATTTCTGGACACCGCCAAATCTCTCCCAGGAGCTATGTTTTTTTTGCATTTTTTGTTTTTGCGAATCCACCAGAGGCCACTGTGTGTGCTTTTTGAGATCTCAAATTTCTCTTGCGAATGCCATACGCGTCTGCTGTTGTCGCATAAATCCACTAGAGGCTACTGTCGACTGACTTTTTGACTGACTGACTGAATGACTGGCTGACTGACTGATCGACTGACCCACTCTCCTCCTTCCTTAAATCCAACCAATAATGTTTTTAAAAGCACAGATTGACCCGCCCACCCCCTTCCCCTCACCCAACTGGCAAATTTAAAAAGCAATCCTGAAAAAGAAAAGCCCTCGCCTGATTTCTACCACATTCTCACCCTGGTATTTACTCGTTTATTTTATTTTTTGGATTCTGTTTTTGTCTTGCCTGCTTTTTGGAATCGTTCTTCACCTGACTCAAACCCCATCGTCATGGTCATCTCCTATGTGCATCTCAAGTCCACCAATGTACATGGCAAGCTAACTAGACAAACTGGTAACAGCCAGAAAGCTGTTCATATGGAGGTAAGCGGTCAGCCGAAAAGTGCGAAAAAGAACGGCCTCATACCACCTCGTAGTGTTCATTTTAAAAACTAAATGCAGCCATACCTACTTCTGGCTACATAATTCGCTATCTCCAGAAACTTATACAAGGCTGCATTTTCAGAATGAGCGTATGGTGAGATTAGCACATGATAATGTTAATGTCTCAAAATAAATCGCAGATTCAGGCTTCAACCATTTGGTGATGTTTCCTTGATTTCATGCCAATTTAATGATTTTATAAACCTTGGTGGACAAAAGGCCAATCAGAACACAAACTATTGCGAGACTCACTGGGCACGCCCTCATCATTTGCATGTTCTTTGAAGTCTCTGTGAACTGAAAGCTGCGATTGTTATTCTTTTCGTAATTTTAAATGAGGAAACAGTGGGCATGGCTTGTTTTTTTTACCGCGGGCTAAATAGACTTAGTAAAGTAGGCATTTCATTCAGAAAGATCGGGAAAGGGCTTTTTAGAAGAGTTATTACAACCTAACAGACTCCTCCTGCTCACCATGTCTATTTGTTGTCAAAATTTACAGTTGGAGCAGCGTTAGCCACGCCCATTACCTCAAAATCATCTAATCTGATGAATTAACTGAAGACAAGCAGGAAGTGCATTTTCAGATTTCAATTAAAGATTAGAAGGGCAAACATTTTTTTCTTAATGACACAGATGAATTATTTAAACAAAACTAGCTATGTGATCTAAATCATATGGTTAGTTTTGATTTCTTGGGGACTTTAAGTAGTTTATCAGAGTCTGCTAAGTAGCTGCATCATTCAGGAAAGCACAGACTGATAATGCTGCATTTGAATACTGTTGTATGTGAATTGTGAATGGTCTAGACATTAGGGCTGTGCGATTAATCAAAATCATATTGCAATCGCGATTTGAAATGTTGCGATTAGCTAATCGCAAGAGGCTGTGATTAGAAATATATTTATTGTATAGTTTCCTCCACCCAGAGCAAATGCGTACTGCCGTCTATGTGCGATGGTCCTAGGGGCTGATCACACCGAAGACGCTTTTACATTCCAAAAATATGTGGCGCACTTTACTGCCTTTTTTGCTGACAAGAAAAAGAAGCGTGGTGCACTTGACAACACAAACACTGCAGTCACCTCAACTGAAACCCCGCCTCTGCTTTCATTTGATTGGAGAATGAAACAGACACAACTGTTGTAACACACTTTTTCCGCTCAAACTTGATTTTTTTAAATCCGAGCACACAGTGCGGAACAGCAAATACGCGAGGCGCAGCAAGCAGTTAAAAACACTAGCCGCTAAGGGCGAATGCGCAGAACACTTACGGATGTTAGTAAACCATTCAAAAAAAGCGCCTCTCAGCTCAATAAGTGCGTTCGGTGGGATCGGCCCCTTATTAGTCAATTGATTGAGCACACTTCCGTTCTGCCCAATCAGAATTGCGCAACCGAACTATGCAGAAAGCCCACAATAAACAAACAAACAGGAAAGCGTGGACAAGTGGGATGATGGTGTGTGCCACTTCAGAAGCATTAATAGACTAATTCATATTAAAGAAAAACAGCATGTTGGTAATATGGGAATATTTTGGTTTCAAAGTCACAGACACAGAACAAAAACAGATCCTTTGTAAGAGCTGACGCAGAATTGTTGCCTCAGCACAAGGAAATACAACAACCAGTGCCTAAAAACAGCACAACAGGTGGCTATATGAGGAGTGTCTTGCTAAAAAGTCAACTAAAAGTATTGTCAGTGACACTTAATTCAGCAGCAAGCAACAGCAAAGTACAATTTCAGAGCTGTCTGCAGCTGTTACACTATAAGAAAAAACATCATAAAGGCACCAGGAGATAACTAACACCATAACTCACTGTTAGCTCTAAAGAAAAATTACTGTTTAATTTTTGAATATTTAAAAACAAATCTGAATAAATGTTTAACTTAAGTAACTCAATATCTTTTCAGTTCTTTTTTTCAATAACTCACTGCCTTTTAGCAGCAAGAAGCTACGATACACAGGCCCGGATTAAGAATTGAGAGGCCCCTGGGCACAATGTCTTGTAGGCCCCCTACCTGGTCACACTCCTATTGTTAAATAAAAAAAATAAGAATAACATAATATTTGTAAAATAAAATTAATCTATAATTACTCACATTTTTAAATAAATTATATAAAGTACATATATTTTTAGTCTACAAAGATTTAACTTATTTTTAAAGCATTTAAAGCACACTTTGATAAAAGAAATACTAATACAACTAGTAAAAATAAATACATTTTAATGTTCTTGTTCAAGTTTACAGAAGCAGTCCTAATATATATATATATATATATATATATATATATATATATATATATATATAAAAGATTATTTTTAAAGTATAACATCTACAAACGTATAATGCAAATGATTTGCATATAACACCTCTCCAATCCAGTTCAATGAATCTGAGTCCTCCATAATACACACACTTATTAATGATTCCTACTTGTCCTCTTTGTGATGAAGAGTAGACAAAATCTGAAATGTAGTAGGAAAAAATAACGTGTTCATGAGATGCTGGATTCGAACCGGGTTCATAATGGACCGCATCAAAACATGTTGTCATGCGCTTTAGGAGCTACGCCACTCAAGCTGATGCTTGTTGCCCTCTTTAGTTTTGTTGTCGCTGTCAATCAAACGGTGATAGGCAGGAATCACTCAGCTTATTCCAACGAGGCGCGCTGTTTGCATTTAGCCTAAATAAACACTACAAAATCAGTGTCCCTCGCAGGCGCCGCAAGTGCGCACGGGCCCCTGGGCCTGTGCCCATAATGCCCATTGGTTAATCCGGCCCTGACGATACAGAAAATTGAGCTGAAGCTTGATTACAAAATTAAATCATAAATCAAATCTAAATCGCAATGTCTGTCAAAAAAATTTGCAATGAGATATTTTACTGAAATCGCACAGCCCTACATATTTCATTTATCATATTGTAAATATGATGTGAGTTTCCAGACATTCACAAATCCTCCCCCATGGCCTTATGGGATAGTAAATTCTCTATCATAAATGCCCACTGTTTTAGGACTACTATGAATTTAGCCAGAGTACTCCAGTCACACACTGTTTTCAACTGCTGTATAATAGAGGAGTATGATATTTTAAATGCAGCCCATACTCTGAGCTACAAAGAATTATGATTTTCACTGACTGAATATTTATTCTAACCTACAAGCGTCTTAAATTATCTATTAAAAATTCATAAATAAGACCTAATGCAAGTCTGAATCTGTAATTCGCATTCTTCAGACCTCCCTGTTTTCTGTCTTTTTTTTTCCAGGATCTGGGAATGGAGTCAACCTCTCTGGACGATGTTCTCTACCGCTATGCCAGTTTCCGCAACCTGGTGGATCCCATTACCCATGACCTCATTATTAGCCTGGCCAAATACATTCACTGCCCAAAGACGGTAATTTGTGATTCGTGACATTTTGTCCATACCGTGCACACCTAAAAACACCTCACACACCATTTCAGCATGCTTTACTCTATTTCTGTGCACGTTGTGATGTGTTGTGTTAATATTTAATGGATGTTGCTTTATAGCGCTGGCTGGAGAGCACAGCAGATAAACGTGCAAAATGAAACCATACCAATCCAGTGCAGCGAGCATTAAAATGAAGCAAGTGTAAGGCAGAAGCAGAGATGAAGAGAGCAGAGAGAAAAGAAGCAGAGGGAGGTTTACTGGCGGATGAGTCACACAGACTAAAGACCAGTCAGCCTCTTTCTAAGACTACTGCTACTGCCGCTGCTGCACTTAATGAAGCCAGTCAGGCACTATATCACACCGCTAACGCCCTGCTCAGCACCTATAGAGAGTCACACAAACACCTGACCTCCACCAAAACAACACAGAGGATGCTGCGCACTCTTTGCTTTTCACTCGATCATCATCTCTTCTCTAACGACATGTGAATGTGGGAGACTCATGATATCTATCTATCTATCTATCTATCTATCTATCTATCTATCTATCTATCTATCTATCTATCTATCTATCTATCTATCTATCTATCTATCTATCTATCTATCTATCTATCTATCTATCTATCTATCTATCTATCTATCTGTCTATCTGTCTATCTACCCACCCATCCATCCATCCACCCACACACACACACAGTCCAAAGACATGCGGTACAGGTGAATTGGGTAGGCTAAATTGTCCGTAGTGAATGAGTGTGTATGGATGTTTCCCAGAGATGGGTTGCAGCTGAAAGAGCATCCGCTGCGTAAAACATATGCTAAATAAGTTGGCGATTTATTCCGCTATGGCGACCCAGATTAATAAAGGGACTAAGCCGAAAAGAAAATGAATGTCTGTCTGTTAGTATTTTGGTATGTTACAGTATTATGGCTTGTTTAACAGCTTTAAATGTCGGCGCCAATAACCTAGTGGTACTGTGTGCCGACATATAGCACTGACGTGCTCATTGCAACCTGAGTGCGATTCCTTTGCCAAACCTTTACCCTCTCTGCTTCCAATGCTTTCCTGTCTGAAACCTCTACTGTCCTATCATAATAAAGGTGAAAAGCCCCTAAAATAATTATTAAACAGCTTTAAATGACTTTTTTCATAAAATCAGTCTACACTTTTTACAATAATACATTTTATTATTTTAAGGCTGTAACATAATAAGAAAAAATAATACTTTTGCTAGAAATTGAAATGCTTATGTGACAGTAAAGACATTTAAAATGTTAATGAAGATTTGTACTTTAAATAAATGCTGTTCTTTTAAGACCATATTCATCAAAGTATCCTAAAACATTTTTTTTATTTAGATGACAAAGAATTAATAAAAAAATTGACACTGATAATAATGATTAATTATGTTTTCTGAACATCATTTTTAAATGTTTTTTTTTTGTCTGCTGAAAATGTAGCTTTGCCACATTAGGAATAAATAATATTTTATATATACTTGAATTGAAAACATTTATTTTTAAAACTCTAATAATATTTATGTTACTATTTTATCACTATAATAAATTATTATAGTATTATTATATTAATAATAAAATTATATGAATATATTGCTATACTATTTTACTATATTTTGGTTAAATAAATGCACCATAAAATATTTCTTTTAATTTACTTAAATCCTTTAAAATCCTTTAATCCTAAAAATCCTTTAATTTGCCATACAAAAAACTTTTTATGCTCATTTTGACTAGTTTCAGACTAGTCGAAAAAGGGTTAACGCAAACAACAAGAGATGAAAATGCATTTGCCAAATAAACTCTGAAGTACTTAAACTCAAAACATTACACCCACATGGCTCCATTATGCTTGCCTTGTTTACTGTTGGTTACTAGTTACCAGTTCTACAGTCAGCCACTCTAACACCTTGATGGAAATTCACCTAATACACATTTAGGATTTCTTTCTTTTTTTTTTTTTTTTTTTGCAAATTTTGAAAAGATTGCTTCTAGTTAGGATGGAAACCCAGCTATTAATTCACCAGGGTTGGAGTCAGTCCCAGTATCTCTGTCCACAGACAAGGGAAACACCCTGACCATATGGCCAGTCCACGACTTGGACATTATTGATTTAAAAAAAAGATCAGCCTCAGAAACATGAATATGCAAAATCCTTTAACCAACCATGTTGACATAACAGAGAGACTGAAATTTCTCCCAGTTGCGTAAGGTGACGTTTGCTTAAAGTGATGTTATTGTAAGTAGCAGTGGAGGGAGACAAAGTCGAGATGAACTCAGTGATGTGACAAAAAGGAAAGCAGGCCTGTCAGAGCCCGCTGGGTGTATGATTACACTGCCAGGGGACCCACTGTCTGTCTGCAGGGGTGACCAACCATGTGGCACTGTTAATCTCAAGCACATATCTCAATATCAACACATGCAGTTCTGTCCCTGATCCACTACAGAGGTCACGGCCTGCTGCAGCAATGGCAGGATTGATTTACATATTGATGTTTTCGGTACGGATACAGACACCTGAACAGAGACAATGTGTCCTTGATCAAATACAGTGGCCGGTATTAATGAGAAAAAAACAACATTTTTATTCATTTCACAATATATACAGTTGAAGTCAGAATTATTAGCCCTCCTAAATTATTAACACATTTCTAAACTTAGTAGTTTTAATAACTACTTTCTAATAACTGACCCCTTTTATATTTGCCATGAGTACAGTACATAATATTTTACTACACTGTAAAACCCAAAAAGTTAAGGTAACTCAAACAATTTAAGGAAACTGATTGCAACAAACCATTTAAATTCAAAAACTAATCCTTATGAGTACTGTGAACTTAATCCATTTGGGCTGGGGCAGGGAGGGAGGGTTATTGCAGATGAAAGTAAAGAGGGTTGGGGCTTCGTGGAAGAAAGTGAATGTGATCAGCGAACGTAGAAGAAGGGGGATCAGTAAAATGAGGTACCGGATTAGATTTCAGAGGTGCAGGATCCGGATCCGGCATATTCCGGCATACAAGATATGACAAGATCTCGTATGACGAAGTAAATGGTTGTATCGTGAGTTGTGATGTTATGATGGAGCGTGAGGGTGAATTTAGCACTGAAGATTGGAGGCAGGATTTGATCACACACCTGGCAACCCAGGCTGGGCTTGGTAATTGCGCGTGTCACTCATTTGCTTGGGCGGGTGTGATGTAACCGATTTTGTTTTTGCCGGAGTTCAGCGGGTGCCACATCCAACAGAGGCTAAAACTGCAGCCATACATATTTACCATGCTTCATATCCATGCGATAGAATAACACTTCAGATATGCTTAAAGTCATAATCCTCGTAAACAAAAGGAATTAAGACATGTGGAATATTCCTATTTCAGTCGAATTATTGAAATGCAGAGTAAAGGCCTGTGTAGGTCTTTTAGTCGTATTTTGCAACAGGATAAGACATACACGGCACACATGGCTGTTTGACACTATTCTCTGCACCTACTAAGTCAGTAAAAGACCACAGACACATCTCTAAGCATGCGTTTACACATACACACACAGACACAGTGAGCTCTGGAGACTCGAGACACACGCCTTCATCATCACCGAACACACGTTTATACTGTCAGTGTATGGTATCAAATTACAATAAAACAACTCTCTCCTATCAGTCCTTACTTTATATTTGCATTCAGTAGCCCAGAGCTTGTGACAAGGTCATGAAGGAAATCTTGCCAAATGAAAGTAAAACTGCTAAAAAAAAAATTATACCAAAAATGTAATGAATTTTAAGTTCAATTTGTGGAAAGGAGTCGGATTTCTTATGTGAAATTGTACGAGGGACATGCCAGTCAGTAGAGTTTATAGCTAAACATTTAGCAGTGTTTGCATGTCCTTTACAGCATAGAACTCTTTAAAATAAAAAAATAGAAATAAAGTAAAATACCATTCATTACAATTTTTTTAAAAGGCACCTAAATTGTTTTGCAGTTTGTGTTTTTTTCCAGTTAAATAAAAATCTATTTTCCATTTATATATTAGCATATATCTCTCATCTCGTCTCATTCTCGTGAACCTACACTTGTGTCCCCTCTCGTGGAGTAAGCATCTCGTCACACCCTTCATTTTTGCATCATGATTCTATATGATTTGATTAGATCCTATTTGATTTGAATTTTGCAATAAAAAAACTATGTTGCAAAAAAAATTATTTCAAGGTAAAAATGAAATGCTTTAATATTTAGTTTAACCTTGCTGATTTTGCCGTTTAAATTTAATCTTATATTAACATTTTTAATAAGTTGTATTTCTTTTTACCTTTATCTTAGGTTAACAATTTGATTCAAGAAGTGTAGTGACCACTTAAAATGTAAAGACATTTTTAGGTTCTGTAGGTTCTTAGTTGGAGCCACTGAACAGACAAGTGTTAATACTTAAACCTGCAGATAATTGGTAATCTCGTCATGCTTGAATGGTGGTCTCACTGAACCTGATTTATTACCCGAAGCAAATGAATGTTATTACAGTAATAAACCTCTGTGCATTTAGGTTATGATTAATGTGATAAGATGAAATTACTGTTAGAATGGATATTAAAAATGAAACATTTATGAGCAAGATATCATCTTCGCAGCTCGTATTAATGAAATTAAACTTGTTCTTACACGACAGCAAGTGTTACTTTATGATTTATTATTATTAAAGACTAGTAGTTTGTTCATTTAAGTTCTATGTCAGTAAACAAATGTGTAATATATTTATTTTTTAGTTAACAACAACAATACTAATCAAAGCATGCTAGCTCAGATCGAATTAGATTTAAGAATTTAGATTTAATCTTTATTTTTTTTGTATCACACTGTTATTTGATAATTAATTGGGCATTCCCATTTATTGTTTTATATTTAAATAACATCATGTAAAGTGGGTGAGATTTTAATTTCATATAATTTATTCATTTATTATAATTAATCAAAATTTAATCAAATATAAATATGAAGCCTTTTTTTGCTTTTCAGTTAACAAAGCCATATTCTGCCTGACAAAGGGCTTGTCGTCTATCCAGGTTTTAGGAACACTTGACTTGACTTCTAGTTGATCATTTGCTATCAGAAGTGGCTTATATGAAAGGCAAAGGCCTCGAGATTACACTTATTTTACCAAAATAAATATGATCACGCCTTGAGTTTTAATTACTTAATTAGGAAAGTTAGGTCTCATTTTGCTGAGACAAAAGTCTTGTCACTTAACAGAAATACTGTACAGTATAGAATATAAAGTCATGGAGCAGTGAAAAAAGAATTAATATTGTGTATGACTCTCATGACCTTGGAGGACTGCATTCATCCATCTCTGCAATGACTCGAATCACTTTTTAATAAGGTCTTCTGGAATGGCAAAGAAAGCGTTCTTGCAGGACTCCCAGAGTTCATCAAGATACTACTGGATTCATCTTTAATGCCTCCTCCTTCATCTTACCCCACACATGCTCAATAATGTTCATGTCTGGTGATTGGGCTGGCCAATCCTGGAGTCATCTTGACCTTCTTTGCTTTTAGGAACTTTGATGTGGAGGCTGAAGTATGTCCTGCTGGAGAATTTGCCCTCCTTTGTATTTTGTAATGTAATGGGCAGCACAAATGTCTGGATTCTTCAGGCTGTTGATGTTGCCATCCACTCTGCAGATCTCTCGCATGACCCCATACTGAATGTAGCCCCAAACCATGATTACTCCTTCACCAAACTTGACTGATTTCTGTTTGTGATGATTGGGATGCAGTTCAACAGATGATTCATCTGAAATATCGACCTTCTGACACTTTTCCAAATGATCAACTAGAAGTCCAGTTATTATTTGTTGCTCATACAACTGGGATTAACGACAAGACTATGCTTGTTCACAACTACACAGCATGTTGGCTTAGACTAAAGCTCACTTAAAGTTAACCTTTATGCTTAAAATGTATTATTAATATTTAATTTACATTATTAATAGACTTAAAACTCAAACTGAATCTTCAAATTAACCTGTACATTATACATTTGTGAAACCTATTTTCAATAAAGCTGACTTATTGCATTTTTTGTTATAGTTTTCATTTATTTAGCCCAAATAATATGGTATTTTAATATTTTTCAGTCACCTATTAATATAGCATAACAGCATTTTATTTCTAGACTAAATTATTGGCAGTCCTGTAAGAGTGTGCGGTGCGTTTTCTTTCTCAGTATAACTTAACTTATGCGTGAAACATCAGCAGAAATGGTTTCCATCTAGAGGAGTGTGGCAGTTACTTTTGGCAGTGTGTGTGTATATGAGCAGTCATGTCTCTCTGCAAATTGGATTGCTCTAGGCAGTGATAAATGTGAGTAGAAAATAATAAAGCTTTCCAGAGATGGCCATACAATACATCAATACGTTGCTGCTACGTTTTGCGTAGATGCATTTCATCCCAAACTCACATAAATCAAACACACACACTCCCAGCCAGATCCTCGGATGACCTAATGATAGCACTGGAGTGAGTTTGAAACCTGTCAGTCAGTCTGTATAGCTTTGTCATCATAAATGTCAGAGAAATTAGTATTTTACCTGGAGGGCTGGGATACCCTGGTCTTCTGCCAGTCTTTATTAACCTGCTGTGTGTTGTGGCTTGATTGACGTGATCTCTGTGTCTGTTTTTGTCAGGAGGGAGATGCTCTGGGTGCCATGGAGAAGGTGTGCCGGCAGCTGACCTACCACCTGAGTCCACACTCACAGTGGAGACGGCAGGGGCTGCTGAAGAGGAAGCCACAGTCCTGGTGAGAGAGCTCAGATTCGGGCAGTGAGGGTATAGCAGTCCCTCATATCGGATTTTTGCAAGACATTTTTTTCCTAAAATTCTAGATTTTGTGGCAGTTTTTCTCGAAATGTGTGTCAGTATTTGCAGCATTTCTTGCGCATATTGCCATGAAAATACACACATTTTATTTATTTATTTGACATTTTTTTAACCACTTGGCTCTGAAACTGAAACAGAATATTGAGTAGGGTGGAGGGTTTTTCTTCACTAACAGCAAACTAATGGTCGGAGGGGCGTGGCATCAGAAAAGCACTGCCTTTCTATACTGTAAAGATTATCCAAAAGTTACCAGTTGCATTTTGTGAATCTATTTATTTTTTTCCTGTTTATTTATGCTTTTGAATTGCATTATGGGACCTTGATCGTACATCCAACAACTTTTAACCTTGAAAAGTTAAAAAAAAAATTTTTTAATGCACATTAATGCTTTTGCGTTCCATGAAGGTCCCATGAATTCAAGTAAAAGACTTTTAGATGTTAGTATCAGTATTGTTAGTTTTTAGGACAACTAGTGTGCTCTAAAACAGTGACAAAATTTGTGTTTAGATAATAGATTTAAACATAAACCTGATATAAACATGTAAAGCTTGTAGTTTGTCACTTCCGCCTACATGGATCAATGGCTGCGTCCGAAACCGTATACTTCCATACTATATAGTACGCTAAAATCAGTATGCGAGCCGAGTAGTATGTCCGAATTCATAGAATTCGAAAATCAGTAGGCGAGAAGTACCCAGATGACTTACTACTTCCGGCGAGATTCTGAAGTGCGCATCCCATGCACGCTGCGCTATCCCATAATGCCCCGTGAGAGAATTCATGAATGGAAGTGAGGCGACGCAACTGACGCAGGTAGGTCACATGACCATGATAAAATGGCGGATGTAGTACGTCGGAATTCCATTCATACTTTTCACATTCCTACTGTATAGAACGTACTTTTCTGACGGCCGAGTAGTACGTTTAAATTCAAATGCAGTACCTACTGAGTAGTAGGCGGTTTCGGACGCAGCCATTGTTTTGTTTTTTTTTTGTTTTCCAAGTCCCTTTATACTTCAGTTTCTCATCAAATCTTGACCAATCAAATGCTCTCTGGTGTCTGACATGCCCCACCCCTTTTAAGACGCTTCTCATTTGCTTTTCATTTGATTCGCTTGAGCTAAACCACTCTCATTGGCAACAAAATGCTATTGGCTGTTTTTTTATAAAAGGGGAGGAGTTACACTATATCCCACATTCTCTTCATGTTTCGGTTAAGATTATGTTAAACATCGAATAAAAAATGCATATTTCAAAGCACTTCACGAAACCTTTAATCTAACATAATCACCCGTATTTTTATCTTTTGTATGTTATGGATAAAATAGAGTATTCCTAATAGTTATTACATTTTAGTAAATCACCAAGATAACACCCTATACACATAATTTAACACTCACATCAGTTTACTAATCAGTCGGCCCACATGGAATCTGTGCGCACAGAAATTCGCAGATTACCACAGATTTTTAGCCCATTATTGAGTCTATGTGTTTACTTGTGTAAATGTGTGAAAATGTATATTTATTCAGTTTTTAAATTAATTTCACTAATATTATTGTGATTTAGTATTAGTAATATTTATTTATTTAATAGTAATGTTCATGTGAGTTATTTACAATACAGTAAATATATTATATACGATACTTGCTTTGTTTACCAAATAAGTGGATCTAATTTGATCTGCATTGTAAAGATTAAATAAAAGTTAATAATTTATTTATTTTTTTCATATATTAAGATTTTTTGCAAAATTCTCAGCAGAAATGGCAAAAACATGTCCGTAGATTTTATCTGGCCCCACTAATAAGTCAGTGATTTATTATCAAGTCAACATTATTCAAAGGATTTGAATATATGTATCCAGGTAAACATGTTCATTTAACAGAAATTTGGATATTCAGTGTATGTTTTTTTTTCCCCAGCCCCATTTTTTTGTTGTTGTTGTTCTCTGATGTCCACTATCACATAAAAACATTGATTTCCATAGCGTTCCACTCACAAGCAGCGGTCTAGTTGCTCACAAGTGCCTTGCTTTTTGTTCATTAATTAAAGTGATTAGTTGGTTTTAAAATAAAAGCCTCCGCAAAGCATGCAGTCAGAATGAATCATCGCATTGTCAGTTGTTTGTCCGTGTACTGATTTGTCAGCACTTAGGGATTAATTACACTTTAAAAACCGCATGGCTAATGGAGCGTCTCAGTTGAGGTTTGGTTCTTACACTCCAGATATCCCCAAATACGAAATATGTCATATTATAACTCCAGTACAGCTGTGTATACCATACAAATCTCATCACCTGTGAATTGACTCCTCAACGGGGCTTTCAGTGGTTTTCTCTCCGTCCATTGATGATAAGAGCTGTGTTTATTCTGCAGAGTGAGTCAGTGAATGAAAGAACAGCCTCCCACTGTGTGCCGTGTACGTGTGTGTGGTTTTGTGTGTGTGTGTGTGCGCTAACACATGGTTCTGTGGTGTAGACTTTTACTTATGTGGCTCCTTTCCAGCTGCCATTAATATAGTCAAAACACAGACTGTGTAATGTGTAAATGAGGAAATACTCAGCTCTATTTATTTCCTGTGTCGATGGATACACTTTGGATGAAGCCTCTGAACTTATTGGTGGTTTTGTAATTGCAGGTGGATTTTGGTGTCAACTCCAAAGCTATTATTTCTTTCTACTTTTTTCAAGCAGTTATGTTTTTAGTTATTTTAATTACTTGTGACTCATTGTCATTGATCACAAAGATGCTACAGACCATAACTATATGTTTTCTGCAAAACAAAAGTTGTGTATAGATAAAATCATGATTTATTTCTTGTCTGAATTAGTGTATTTTTTCCATCATGTTACACTGTAATCTAAATGTTTTGTTCTATATTTATTTTGTTTTTATTTCACTTATATTATTCATAAAAGTACTGAATAGCCCTTATTATAAAATATTTAAATTTCTTCTACAACATTAAAATGCTTAATTTTATTTATTTACTTATAAAATGTGTCCATAAATCTACTGTCAACTCTGTTGCCTTAACATGCTTTGCCTTCAGATTGATTTGGTTGGAATTATCTCCCACAACTATGTAAGGCACTGGAAGGGATGTCAATTTCTTTGCACTGAAAAGATCTGAAACACTAAAGGTGTATGTGCTCTCTCTGAGAATTGTTTTAACTGAAAAGTTTTTACACCAAGAGTTATTTTGTAAAATGTCAAAACCGTTACCACAATATAAAAGGAACACAGAATTAATCACTGATCACAGGCTACTTTTATACTTAAATCATAATTTCACTAGTGCCATGCCATGAACTCTTTTATGCCATGAACTCTATATTTACCTTTAATTTATGCTTGTAAATTATTTATGCTTTTGGCTGCCAATGTTCATTAAGCAACCCAGGCTCTTTCTGAAACATACCCCTATATTCATTTTGGAAAGCGCCAAATATGTCTCCGGAGATATAGGAGATAGGAGGTTTTTTTTGCAATTTTTGTTTTTACGAATCCACCAGAGGCCACTGCCTGTACGTGATTTCAAATTTCTCTTGTGGGTGCCATTCGCTCCTGCTCTTCTCATGTAAATCCACCAGAGGCCGCTGTGGACTTACTGACCAATCGACTGACCCAAAAGGTATCTGTTCAAAAGCACCCATTGACCTACCCACCGCCTTCCCTAAACTCAACGATAGTGTTTTTAAAAGCACCGATTGACCCGCCCACCGCCTTCCCTAAACCCAACTGATGGTGTTTTCAAAAACACAGATTGACCCGCCCACCGTCTTCCCTAAACCCAATCAACAGTGTTTTCAAAAGCATCGATTGACCTGCCCACCGCCTTCCCTAAATTCAATGATAGTGTTTTCAAATACACAGATTGACCCACCCACCGCCATCCCTAACCCAACTGATATTCATTCATTCAAATTCTTTTCGGCTTAGTCCCTTTATTAATCTGGGGTTGCCACAGCGGAATAAATCACCAATTTATCCAGTATATGTTTTATGCAGCAGATGCCCTTCCAGCTGCATCCCATCTCTGGGAAACATCAATACACACTCATTCACAAATATACACTATGGACAATTAAGCCTACCCAATTCACCTTCACCGCATGTCTTTGGACTGTGGGGGAAACCGGAGCACCCGGAGGTAATCCACACAAACACGGGGAGAAGATGCAAACTCCACACAGAAATGCCAACTGACCCAGCCGGAAATCGAACCAGCGACCTTCTTACTGTGAGGCGACAGCACTACCTACTGCGCCACCGCGTCGCCCAACCAAACTGTTTGTGTTTTCAAAAACACAGATTGACTGGCCCACCGCCTTCCCTAAACCCAACAACATGCAATCCAGAAAAAGAAAAGCCCTCACAGCAGCCTGATTTTTTCCACGTTTTCATATTTTACCACCTTCTCACCCTGATATTTACTTGATTTTGTCTTACCTGCTCTCTGGACCGTTCTTCACTGGACTTAATTCTATGTTCGTTTTAATGACGAAATGCAGCCATACGTACAGTAGCTCTGGCTACATAAATCGTAATCTCCAGAAATGTATATAAGGCTCTGTTTTAAGAATGAGCCTTTGTTGCACTAGGTTACCAAGGTAGAGTAACAGTGTTGACAGTATATTCCAAAATCGAAAGGAACATAGTTGACAAATAATACTATAATCTAATCAGTTTTTTCATTCAAATTAAAAGCAGGAAATGGCGTTTGTTTGGCATGCCCTGATTTATTTATTACAGTATGTTTTCTATATTGTACTGGAAAAAAATTTTCTCCTCAACTTCTGCATAATGTTTCTCCAATTATAGAATCACCCTTTTATGAATGCAAGGATAAAACAGCTGCACGACCGTTTTTGACTGTCCTTTCTGTTGTGGTTAAGCTGGAATGTGAAGGCATGTT